ACTGCAGAAGCAAAACAGCAGCCTTGGGAGGGAGAAAACGAGCTCCTCTCCCCTCACCTCCAGTCCTGGGGGGCCAGCCATGAGCACCCTGGTGCCCAGCGTGGTCCTGCTCTCCCTCCTGGCTGCTGCCGGCTCCACCGGGCTCCTCTGCACCCTGCGCAGGAGGAGGGAAGGTAACGCTGCCCGTGCGTGCCCCATCCCAGGCACACCCCGGTGCCCATCCCAGGACCTGGGGGACAAACCCACCCTGGGCACGGGGCTGTGGGCAGCTTCCCCCTCCCAGCGACCCAGAAAACCTGCACCCACGTCGCTGCCCCCTGGCAACAAAGCCCCGGGTGTCACCACGGAGCCGGACCACAGCCCCATCTATGACAACAAGCTGGACCTGGCCGAGGTGAGGGCCCCTGGTGCGGGAAGCGCGGGCAGCGCAGGCAGCGTGGGCAGGGGCCATGCAGCGTGGCTGTTCACCCTGGGCAGCCCCTGCATCGCCCAGCTGTGCCTCAGGGCTGTGGGGACATGCTGTCCCCTCTCCAGGGTGGCCGCAGTGACATGGAGCAGGACCCCAAGCTGGAGGATGACAATATCTACACGAACACCCTGTGTCAGGAGGAGGTGACAGGAGTGACCGGCCAACATTCTCCAAGGGAAGAGGTTTCCTACTTGTTCTAGCAGAGCATGCCTCGTGGGCAGAGGGTCCCCAGGATGTCCTTGTGATCACGCCCAGGACATCCGTGCTGCAGCAGAGGAGGCAAACGAGCGCTGCAGGAGGCAGTGGCTGCTGTCCCACCACTGTGGCATCTCGGTGGTGTGACAGCTTCTGCCCATGATGCTGGAGCTGAAGGCCATGTTGTCACTGTCCCCTGGTCCACAGGACGCCACGAGTCCCCTGCCTCTGCGTTGCTTTGGCAGATTGGCCCACAGCTGGCAAGAAACCATATCCCTGATTCCTGCACAGGCTGAGCAGGATGTTTTCCTGGCTTGGCAGCAGGGTGTTTTCCCAGCTTGGCATCAAACAGTTTGCTTTGGGTTCAGATAAATACAATAAAGAGATTCCTCTGCAGGAGCTCAGTCTGGGGGTGAAAAGGGGACAATGTGGTGTACCCTCAGAGCTGTTCTGCAGCTGCTGTCCCCTTTGGGGGTCCCTGGGGCACCCCAGTACTGCTGGGGATGCATTGGGAGGGGGAAATGGGAACTGACATTGAAAGCAAGGAAGATGAGAGTGGCTGAGGAGGTGGCTGGAGCCCACGCCGTCCAGCCTTTCCAGGAAAGCTTCTCAGCAGAAAGCAGGTTTGCTATCTCCAGCCACTTCTTGAATTTGGATCTTGCTGCTGTTCCCAGCGATTTGGCTCACGGCGGTCAGCCGGCTTGCTGGGAATGAATGGGGTTACCTGATGATCAGAAGGAAAACCCAGAGCTGCTTCTTCCCATGGCAGGGGGACAAGGAGGGAAGGGAAGGGGGAAAGGAGCTGCTTCAGCATCTGGCAGGGATGGGGGGGGTCGTGCCTACTGCTCTTTCCAAGGGGCATTGAGGAGGGAAGCCACCAGCAAGGCAGCTGCCAGGGAAGCAGCTTTGCTTTTTGTGTTTGGGTTTCTGAAACTTACAGTGGAAACATTTAATTTTGGAAGAAAAACAGTATTGTCAGCCAAAACCCATGGCTGTGCCAAAAGGGACATATCTGAGGCAAAATGAGACACTTGTACCTGAGAAAACAAACAAAAGGAGCCCAACCTGCACTGGCAGCCAGCTCGGGAGTTGGGCAGCAGTGGTACAGCAGGTCTGGCAATCCATCATCCCCATCCATCGTCCCAGTCCATCACGACTGGGACAGCATCCTGGTAGTCCCAACCAGCCCACCCGCAGGGGCTGACCTGCATTCACTCCACCCTGTCCCCTCACCCCACTCTGGCCTGTTTACCCCTGCAAAACCCCCCAAAGCCCCTCTGGATCTGTGCATGGGGAAGGGGCTGCATTCCCTGCTGGGATGGGTGTCGCAGTGGAGGAACCTGCTGCCTTCTGGCATTTTGCTGGAAACCAGCGGCTGTTTCAGTATGAAAGCAGAGTCTCTCTCATGTGACACTCCCTGGGTGATTCACAGTCTGTGGGTGAAGGGGAGGAAGCAACTGACTTTAAAAAAGACATCCAGGGTCTGTGTGTAAACACTGCTCAAGGAAGCGACGGAAGAAGGAGGCTCGGAAAACTCCTGGGGCACCCGTGTGTGTGTGAATCTGACTCCGTCCTGCTGCGTGCTTCATGAGTAGCCACGAGGGGAAATCCACATTGGGAGCAAGAAGCAGAAATATGAGGATTTTCCTGGTTTGGACCCTTTTCCCAGGTAAGACCCAGTAGCACAGGTCAGGTGGTTCCCACCCCACGGGCTCTGGCAGAGCTGTGGAGAGCCTGAGACCAAGCCAGCCCAGGAAGCCCACTGCAGCCGTGGCAAGAGCCCAGCTGGTACCATCCTTTTCTTGTGGATGGCTACAGGGGGTGATTTCTGAGAAATGCTTGTCATCTGAACTCTGGGAGCAAGACTTTCTTCCCCTTTAATAACATGCACGCTTGAGGGGGGCTGTTTTTTAAAGACTGGGGACATATCTCAGCACTGCTCCCCACTACAGTGGGTGCACGGACACAGCCTCCCTGGGAATAGGGTGTCCCAGAACATCCTGGGCTCAGATCCCTCCTGGCTCCCCGAGGCAATGCTGGTACATGTGTGCAGCACGTCTCCCCGTCCCCACAGGTGGCTGGGCAGTGATGGGCACCACATGGGTGACGGCCAAGCAGGGTGGCTCACTGACACTTTCCTGCAACCATGAGCTGGGCTACAAGCTCTACCACAAGTACTGGTGTCACCCGGATTTCCTCTGGTTTTGCTTCTCCTACATCACCAAAACCAACGGCTCGGAGGTGCCGGTGAGACTGGACAAGGTGCCCAGAGGGGACAACCACATGACACATTTGGTGACGGTGACGGTGGGTGATGTCGTACTGAAGGACACATGCTTTCACTCCTGCACAATGAAGAGGAGGATGTGGTTCAACCTGACACACAAGACTGAGGTGATGACCTCCCCAGGTAAAGCTCTGCTGGGAGCAAAGCAGGGGCATGTGATGGAGCCCATCACTTGGGTCACAGCACTCGGGATAGGGCATTCCCAGCCAGGGGAACACAGATATTGTCAAAGCGTGAGCAAGCTCCTTGCAGGCACCCAGACCCACCGGAGGGTGCCCCAGTGCAAACCTGGATAAGGGATGGAGGACACTGTATGGAGCTTCATGCAGAGCAGTGCCTCTCCCTCCCTCCTATTCACTGCCTCGGCTTTCATAAGCCCATCCTTTGGGGTTTCCAGTCCCTCCCAGTTGAAACCCCCTTTTCCTTCCTCCTCCTTCCCAGTTCCCAGTGTATTGCACAGGGACTCCCATCTCCACCTTCTGCACCTCCACAGCCAAAGACATGGGGCAGGATGGGGTACAGGGGGGTCCCCATTTTGCTCTGACTCTGTTTTCTTCACAGGTCTGTCAACCTCAACCGAGTGCAGCAACATGAGCACACTGGTCACCACCACCATGGACTATGGGGAGCCTCCAATGACGTGAGTCAGGGCCTGGGGTCCGGGCAAGCCCCCAGCAGCATCCCCTGGTCTAAGACACCTTTATCCCTGCATACATCCCCCAGCCCCATGTCCCCACGGTTGCAGCAGCCCCAACGAGCATCTGGGGGGCAAGTAGGGTGGCTGACAGACACACAAGAGCCCCAGTACCCATCCTCATTGCCAGATACTACTCAAGCATCATCTCCTTTCTCCTGAGCAGGTCCCAGCTCGCGGTCACCTACCTGCTGTTCTACCTCAGCATGAAGCTGTCCATGGCACTGCTCCTGGCATGCGGAGCTGCCTGCGTGAGGATTTGCTGCAGGAGCCACAAGCAGGAAAACCCGTAGCTCTTGGAGGTGGCTGACAGCACTGGGGCACCAAGCTGCCCCCCACCCCTGAAGCCACAGCGACACCCGACTACCCCCTCGCCTCCCACCCAGCTGGCACTGTGTCACCCTTTATGGCCACCCCATGCTTGGAGCTGCTCAGCACCAGGGGCTTCTCCCCTTGTGAAGCCTCGGCCCCTCCTGGCAGCCCCTGCACTGGGGAGGGGGCACACAGAGTCTGCTGAGCCAGAGCTGCCAGCTGAAGACAATTTTGCAATAAAGCCCAGGTATCCTGCAGGTGCCTGTCTGTCTGTCTCTCTGTCTGCCTGCTCCCTCCGTCAGCTACCAGCACTGCCTGGGGCTCTGGTGCCTGCCGGATGCCTACGTGTGTGTCTGTGTGGGGACATGCTGCAGCACGGCTGGGGGGGAACACGGGGTAACAGGGGACCATGCAGATGCCTGCTCCACCATGGCCCAACTAAGACCCGGCACAGGGAGAGGGAGCCCTCAGCCCTGCCAGCCCTGCCCCATGCAACCCAATGCCCATCTCCAGCCAAACTCACCCAAGCTCACCCGCAGCTGAGCGAGAGCCAGGGAACAGTGTCCTTCCACAGCCATCTACAGCAATTTTCCACCCTCAGCCTGAGAGCAAAGCTCATGTTGCACCCAGCTGCACTGTGGGCTCCTTTTCTCATTATTTATAATTTTTCAGAAGTCCTGCATCTCCAAAAAACAGGCACCTGCACACTGCTGAAACCCCACAGAAACCCTACTCCTCATGTGTGCTCGTGTCCCGCGGGGTGGCTGGCACCAGCTGTCGCATCAGGGAGAGCAGCATGGCCACCACCATCCTCCTTGGGGCTACACCACGTCCTGCATTTCAGGGCACAACCAGCTTCACCAGCGTCCCCCTGAGAAATCTTTGGAGGAGAGTTGTTACTCTTCATTGTTTAAGGAACCAAACTGCACAAGGTGCCAGGGATAGGCATGAACCAGGAACTTGCAGCCCGATCCAGCCCTACGTGGCAAAACTTGCACTGCATTCGCAGCAGCTTGGCTGTCCAGGAGGGAGCAAGCTGAGGAGCCTGGCCATGGGCCCAGCACCTCGCTCTGCCTGCTGCTCCGCTGTCTGCTCCTGACGGCTAGGTGCTGGGAGCCTGCCGCGAGTGCAGGGACTGGGGTTATGCTTCCACCCACCGGGGTCCCAACTCCTCGTTTATTGTCTGCTCCTGGTGGGTTTGAAGGCCCTTGTCTTCCTGGACCTGGCTGGTGCCATCTCCTACATGAACATGGGGGGAAGCTCCAGGAAGGGAGCACCGTGGGAGAGAGTGAGAGCTTCAGGGGACTACCAGGGACAGCCCCTGGCAATGTCAGGTGGGGACAGCCCTGCCCCAGAGACGCCACGTGTGGAGGGGATGGAGGTGGCAGCTCCAAGGCAGAGCCATGGGGAACTGCAGGGCTCCCAGGTTTTTCCCTGCAGGGGAGAGGACCCAGAGGCAACTGCACAGGGACCTCCCGGAGCCCAGAACCTGGCCTGGGTGGTGCTCAGGGCAGAGACCCTTTACCCACAGAGAGACGCTGTCAGGGGACGGGGTTCAGGGCCAGGCACAAGTCAGGGACAGGGACAGCTCAGTTGTGTCTCCACCAAGGAACACCCTCAGCACCACTAAACCAGAACCAACTGTTGGCAACAGAGCTGTCTGCTCGCCTTTGCCAAGGCCAGAGCTGCGGTGGTGCCGGCAGCGGGTCTGCGTGTGAGGTTTGGTCCAAGCCACAACCGGTCTGTGGCTGTAGGAGAAAAAGCCTGTGACACCCAGCACGAGTCTGGTCTGTGCATTTGTCCTGCCTGGCCCCAAACACTTCCTCGCCCCTGGGAGCTTCTTCCAAAGGGTTTGCCCAACCCGGCATAGGCTCAGTAAGTCAATGATGGGTGGGAGGGAGGACACTGAGGGAGACTGGTACTCTCGAAACTGGAGAGACATGGAT